ATGAAAGATCCTATCTTTTTTTCGATGAGGAATCACCTCCTTAAATGTTTTACACTTATTCATTCACACCCTGTATATAACCTTTTTCAGCATATTTGTTGAATTTTTTTTTAAATTCTTTATGATAGTTCCGTCTGTTGAACTGATCCACGTTTTTATTCCTGGACTTTTTTTCCAAATTTTCTTAGAATCATTCAGTTTTATATAATTGTTTCTCAAAATATTTTTGTTTATTGATTAATATATTCGACATTGGTTAGATAATTTGTCAACTTGAAAAAATTTCCATTATCTTGAAAAAGTATCGAAAAAATTAAAAAATCTAAGATAAGGAATTGAGGAACTTGATATTGATGAAATCAGGACCAATCACATCAGATTTTATTAATAAAATAAACTTATGAACCTCTTCACTATTGTTTGAGTACACTCTAAATAGGGTTTATTAATATTCATGGCATTATCAAATAATCCATACTGGGCCAATCCTTTTTCAATTGTTCAGCAATGATATATTGAATAAATTAATAAACCAGTCGATGATAAGAATAATACTAATACAATAAGTTTAACTATCCATGATAATAATTAAACTATTTTTACAAGCTCTTTCACATATAGTCAGTGGGCTAAGACTGGCTAAGATCATGATTGAATAAAACTGGCCGATACTTGTTGAAAATCCATAATAAAACTCATCAATATAGTTTATTTAACAGTATCAATAACAGTCTAGAAACACCACAAAACATAATTATGCACAATCAAAAAATCATTTGTAATACTTCAGTGAAGTTTCTAGGCATATACATTGATGACACTTTAAGCTGGACTAGTCGGATAGACAACCTTGGCCATAAACTATCCTCGGTAACATACACCATGAGAGTTCTAAAAAAATGTTGATCTTGAAGCACTAGTTACAGTTTACAATATATTATGCGAATTTTTACTCCGCTATGAGACATGGGATAATCATCTGGGGCTCATGCCATGGGTTCAATAGAGTTTTCCTATGTCAAAAAAAATTATCAGAATAATCTTCAATATGAATACAAGAGATCCCGCAGAGGAGCCTTTAAGATCAACAAACTACTTACTGTGTCAACAATCTAGATCTATGAATCAATAAAATTTATCATCAATCATCCAGACCATTTTGACATACATCGCAAAACGGATATTTATGAGACAAGACGAAAAAAAGACTTCTCATATCCC